TTCTCTCTTCTCTCTTTATATAATGCTAACAAAGAAACTACTATGTTATTCATCAAGTGTGAATAATTACTCTAGATATCTCATCTATCACCTCAAAAACCTCGATCGGGGCAAAAATAGATCCTGGGTACTTGACCACATATAATGCAGTCTCTCACATATTGACTTTTCAGTGTAAGAATTTAAAGAAGAGGGGAAACCCCGCATGGAAATGTTAATTACGTGGTACGGCAAGGACATGCGGAGGTGCTATTTTGTTGTAATGAAAATATTTCTGAAATTCTGAAACAAAGCCAGATTTCTCATGTGACTTTGAACCTCACAACATCTAATAATTATTTGAAAGGCACTTATATTGGGATTGTGACAAATTTGGTAACTTCTCCTATTTTAGTAAAACACACACAAAAAGATAATTGTTTCGCTTAAGACTTCACATCACATTACAATTTGTATAATAAATATGTGTGGAAGTTCAGCCACATCATTTTCACTTGATAAACACAACTGTACCATTAATAATTGAAATTATTAGAAGGTAGCATGGTTTCTAGCTCTTTCATGTTGTAGAGGAAGGCCTTTGAACTAAAGAGTAAAGACCATTCACATCAAGCTATTTATAGTCTTCATGAATTGGTAGTGTATATATATTAGCTTGAATATGGTTACAGTGGTCATATAATGTTCAGACAAGATCTAATACCGGTATATGCATTGTAAAAAAAAAAATCTTTTTCTAAAGAAAATTTGAACCCAATTTATGGTTAATGAACCAACATTTTAACATGAAATACATGTTTGTATTCATAACCGCAGGAATTGGTAGTGTTTATTTTTAGCTTGAATAGAGGCATTATTGCCTGATAGAGTTCAAACTAGATCCAATATGTTATGTATTGTACTCATTCTTTTTCCAAGGATACAAAAGGGATGAACCTAATTCAAGTTTAATGAACCAACATTTTTAGCAATATCCTGTTTCTGTTCTGAGGTGGGTGAATCAAGGCAAAATGTTTCCATGACAACGGGTCTGTGTAGACAGTGGACATAGAATTCACACAACACGTACCTAAAGTATCTTATATTATTGTTGTAGATGAACTAGAAACTGTTTTAGACTCACATCATGCTAGGTATAATACAAGATTCTTTAAAAATTTCATTTTAACACCTAATTGCTTGAACAAGGTGCATGTGTTTATTTTTGTTGGGGGGGATGGGGTGTGATGATACCATTATTATCAGACAAAACATGTATTGTAATTTATAATCACTACATGTATATGGAGTTACTAATTCAAGTTCATATATGTAGATCAAATGTTTTTTAAGATAGTAATTATTAGTCTTCAAATCCTCCAATGCAAAGGATCATGAATGGAAAAAAATATAACTTTCTTCTTCATTCACCATAACAAATCTGTGACATGTCTTTAGTTTTCTGATGCACTTGAATGTACAATGTAAGAAGGAAATGTTCAAACTTCAAGGCATATATTTCTAGTACATATTTGTGCTTTTAGATGATGACGTAATTACTGTTGCTCTGGGGAGGGGGGGGGGTGGATGCCCTAGGTCAATGACCCCAGTGACTTTACCAATTATGGCGTAGTCTACTGCGGCCCCAAAAGGAGACCCCCAAAATGATTAATTCTTGATGCTGTTGAACTGCATTGCTTTTAAATCTCATACCGGTACTTCAAATTGGGAGCTAAGACATGGCTTTGGCATAGCAGTTTAGTAATACTTGTAATATATATTTTTTATTTCCTTCTCTTCTTTGTTTGATTTTCATCTCCTTTGCTGCAAGGAACGCTCACATTGATTGATGTTTTCTTTGGAACGTTGAGCTTTTTCAATGGTTACAAAGATCTGGCCACTCTCCATGTAATGAAATCTAAACCATGATTTGTTATAAGAAGGTTATTTATAAATGATATCATGTGATAGTTTGAGGATTTGGAAGTAATTCAATTATTTCAAGGATATTAAACATGCTGTATACGGAAGAGGAAATGTTTTTAATAAATTTGATCACATGAAGATCTGGAAAATGAGATATTTATTGATAAAAATTTTCCCATATCACAGTAGTTCAGTTTAATTTTAGTCTTGAAAAAAGATATTAGAAATTATTCCTCTCTTATAAAAAAATAAAAAAATAAAAAAAACAATAATAGAGTTGGAGTGATATTTATAGAACATTGTTCTCCATGTATGACACACATGTGTGAATGGAAAGACCAAGAACATAATTCACTGGCAAAAAAGGTACACCACATAATGTAGCTCAGTCTTCAAACAAAGATACATACATGTGACTGATGTTATGTGCTAATGATCAGTGTCAGATTATGGGGGAGGGGGTACAACTAGCCCACAACACCGCATGTGGCATAACTTAAGTATACAAAAGCAAAACATGCCCCTCTTACCATATTTGAGTATTTGTAAATTCCTGTAAGAAAAATGTGGTACCCCACCCCTTTCACAGAATCCTGGATCAGATCCGCCCCTTCTGGTAATGTTACCTTTCTATACAGAGTTACCATGGCGATTGTGGCACAAGTCTGTGGTTTATGATACAGTGAATAATAAACATTATTTTTTATCTGACGTGGCAGATTTTACCATATCCTTGTAATGATGACAAAGTAGACCTCATACTTTGTAAATGAATGAATCATTGACTCAAGAGCTAACCTCTAATGTTCTGAAAGGAAAATCTAAACAAAGCAGGTTTTGTTTCCTCCTATCTTATCTGGAAATGTTTGGTTTGTCTCTAGAAGAAAAATCGTCTTGAACCCTACCCCACATTTTAAATTCTAATTAAACAAACAAAATGTAATCATCATGTCATTATTTCCGTGTTTGAATCTCTCTTATGTACTGCTGGGATATCTCGTGAAAATGTTATGAAAATTGTTGACGAACTCTTCCTTACATAGACACTATTGCACATCATGTAGATACAACCTTAGGTGGCTTTGTTAAAGGTACTATGTCCCATTTGCAGGCCAAAAAAATGAAAAAGTTAAATTCCAACTGCATTTGAAAGATAACACTAATTTAGAACTTCCCTAAAAAAGGTGGGGCTTGAAAATGTCTTCAAATGGGAAAATAACGACTATTAGTTGTCAAATCGACTTTAGGGCTATAGAGCCCAAAAGTAATAGTCTTGATTTTCAGACAATTGTACCGAATGGTCATACGTTTTATGCTGTGCAAAGATTCAATCAGTTTAATCTTGGCCATCAAGATGTAGACAAATGCTCATGTACAGTTGTACCCTTTACAACTCTTTTCATGTATGTTATTACCAAAGAAGAAAAAAAAGCCAGTCAGTAACTCAATAGTGTCTGACAGTGAAGTCTAGCAAGTAAACAGGTTTCCTTGCATAATTTGAATATGAGGACACTGCTAACATTTAAATTTCACAGATAGGACATACATGATACATGACATATTAATAATTCCTGCAAAGTTCTACAGAATTTGAGGTTGGCTGCAAAAGGGACATAGTACCTTTAAGACACAGTGTATTTTTTCAAGTGCTAAGTTTAGAGTCTTTATTTGCAGACTAGTGACTTTGTGAGACTTTGTCCTGCAATTCCAAGAATTCACAGAAATGTTATCTATCGTATGGGATCTCAAACATGAATGTAGTTTTGATGTCTCACGTAGCACACGAAAAACCCATAAAAAGACATTACAAGAGGGTGATTGTGCATAATGACATCGCTATCATAAAAGCAAAACGGGTAGCGTTATTATATGTCTTGATATGCGCCTTCTTTGTCCTCTGGATTTCTTTGTATCATTAGTTGTATTTATGTACATTTGCTCAGCACATAAAAGTGTGTTCTCAATCTATCAGATTTCTATCCTTTATTTATAAAGGGGGATGAGAAAGCAAAAAATAAGATACACAATTTTACCACAGGAATAAGTTCTACCTTGATCTTTGCATATATATATATATCTTTGAATTGTGTTACAATGTATATGATGGTAAATATAGAAAAGCAGAATGTTTTGGGATACCAGATAAATAATAAACCGTCACACAAACAGAGTCAAACTGCAACCCTTCCGCCGTCGCCGCCCCTCCCCCTCCCCCTCCCCCTCCCCCTCCCCCTCCCCTCCCCCCTCCCTCAACAAAAAAGGGGGGAGGGGTTTACAAACAAGTAGTCTTTACATAATAATGAGAGCAACATTTTGAGGGAATGGAAAGTGGAACAAAATGTTGTCTTACAGATAGCCACTCAAGGAGGTTTGTTTGTACCACAGTAGAATGTTCCATTATCCATCAATCAAATTCATTGCGTCTTCCTGGTTTGTCTTCCATAAACACTGCAGTCACACTCACACAAAACATGGAGATGATCAGATCCTGCATTTTCAGTGCAACAGCTGATGTAATTTTAGTGTCCTTTAATCCGTAACAGAATCTTTTTTAATTTGTGTTCCACACGAGATGTTACCATTTCATTTCTTGTTATGTCCTCTCTGAAATCTTAAAGTCACAAAACACAAAGAGATCTTGCACTTTCACTACAACTGTTGGACGTGGGATTTCTTAAGTCCCTTTAAAATATGATACCTGTAGGCTCTCCATCAGCCAAGGCATTCAGTTACCAAATGAACAATTTAAAGCCACACTGTCCTACTTGTAGCTACTTGCTCCCTCTATATAGAAAATAATGCCTAATCGGTGCCTGTTGGTACCCCATAATCCTCTTTTCTTATGCTAATTGAGAGCTGAGTTCATGAGATAGCCACCTGTCAGTGACCTTGCTGGGTGGCCTAATCCCTCCTGGCCAAACTAGTGCAGATATACTTTAAAGTCACAAAACACAAAGAGATCCTGCACATCCACTACAACAGTTGGACGTAGGATTTCTCAAGTCTCTTTAATATAGGCCCTCCACCAGCCACAAGGCATTTAATTACCAAATTAACAATGCAACTCTTTTTCTCCTCTGTGTGAACCCTTGCAGACGCAACAAACCAAAGAGATCCTGCACTTTCACTACACCCGCTGGTCAGATTTCAGTGTTCCCCAGTCCCCTGCAGCATTCCTTCAGTTCCTGCACCATGTGAGGAGATCGGGCTCCCTGGTGGACAACGTGGGTCCTCCCGTCATACACTGCAGTGCAGGGGTGGGCAGATCAGGGACGCTGTGTCTGGTAGATACATGCCTCGTGCAGGTGAGTGAAGAGAACATGATCTAGTACCCCTTTCAAACTGGCCTGATTTTCATCGGATGCATCCGGACGCATCCGATGAAATGGCCAGTATGAATGGTACAAAGGAGAAAAAGGTGGTAGAATAGCCGATGAAAAGATGATAAATAGGCGAGCAGGAGAAATCTCTTTCTATCGGTGTGACACCGATGAAACAGCCACTGTGAATGCGTTCGGGAGAAAACACAGATTAAAATGGTCAAAGGTCACAGTGTACGCGCACCATTTTGTAACCAGCTGTGTTTATTGACTTTTTGTTGAACAAGCTGCATGCTAGCTAGATGGGGCGCAGGCTTAATAATTTGGCAATAATTCGCCCAATACATCGATACAGCGATGTGTTTTAGCGTTTTACAGATATAGTATTACCCTGGTTATCAGATTCAGGCTTACCCGCAAACAATATATGCACATTCTCCATGGGAAGCATTCCGGCCAGTCGCCATTTTACAAGCGCACACTTGTTCATCCAACCAGATTAACTTTCGCATCCTGCAGGGTACCCATTTAACACCTGAGTGGAGAGTGGCAAAAGTAGATTAACGTCTTCCCAAATGACATTAGTGCTGCGGTGGGACTCGAACCCTGTACCTTGTGATCTATAGTCACTAGACCACAACACCTCTTTATGCTGAATTAAACAGTGATGAAATTGGTGTGTGATAGTATTCTCCTCGTTTTGTTTAATCTAAGAATTTCTGTCTTGAGGTCAGACAATGTCCTCAAAACGACAAGGAAAGTTAGATCAGAATATGTATTTGTAGGATGGTATAGTAATGGTCTTCCCTTAGTAATCTAATAGTTATTTGTTTAGGTTTTGTTTTTATGCCTCCGTTACGAAGTTGCCGGAGGCATTATGTTTTCGGGTTGTCCGTCCGTCCATACGTCCCGTTCTCGTGATCGCGTTATCTGAAGAACTGATTGATGGATTCCTGCCAAACTTTGGTCATGTATGTATCTTGCAGAGCCGATGAACTGATTAGATTTTGGGGTCACGAGGTCAAAGGTCAAATGTCACAGGGCTCATGTATGCAAAAACAGTTCGTGATCGCGTTATCTGAAGAACCGATTGATGGATTCCTGCCAAACTGTGGTCATGTATGTATCATGCAGAGCCAATGAACTGATGAGATTTTGGGGTCACGAGGTCAAAGGTCAAAGGTCATGCGGCTCATTATGTATGCAAAAATAGCTTGTGAACGCATTCTCATTAGAACTGACAGATGGATTACTATTTAACTCAGGAGATCTTTCAGAGCCAATGAACTGAGTAGATTTTAGGGTCATGAGATCAAAGATCAAAAGGTCATATATGTATATGAGAAATTGCTTGTAATCACGATATTCTGAGAACCTGTTAATGGATTACAATTGAACTTGAATTTAAAAAAAATTTCTTCTGTTTTGGTTTGTAAAATTGCTCTTTGACGGAGGCATCATTAAGTTCCATCTAGTTCATTTTATCTTCAAATCTTTGATTTTGTAAGTCCTCTTGTACTTGTGATCACTCACCAAATGAGAGGCCTGGTATGCTTCATCATGTTTACACTGCTTACTTCATGTACTCAGCTAATGTAGCTTACCACATACTGACTTTCATGTTGGTTAACTCTGCTTGACCCTACAGATTGAGAAGAAAGGCAATACCTCAGGACTGGACGTCAGAAAGCAGCTACTGGACATGAGGCGGTATCGACACGGTCTCATCCAGACCTGGCAACAGCTACGATTCTCCTACTGTGCCATTTTGGAAGGGTCAAAGGTCATTTTAAGGGGAGATGACCTCGGCTCGTTAACTGTAGAAGTAAGGCTTCATCTCAGAAGGATCTTCACCTAGAATCATTTTGAATTCAGTGTTAGTTGGTACTAAACTTTGATAGGGACCTTCAGGAAAGTCTGATTCTGATTCTGATTCTGACTTGTATAAGAATGTACAAATTAGAAAACTGTGGAACAAATACATTTAAGGTTTAATTTAACTTCCATTTTGTGTTCAAAGTAATGGCAGTATTGCATGTTAGAAGACAAATCAAAGAAACCCTAATTTGGCCTTAGAGTGAGATTTCTATGGCTTTCTCCAGTGAGTCCAGTCGATTCTTATTGCTGTGTTCAATGATCAAGCCCAAGTTGGAATGGATCATGGGTTCCTTACAATACCACAGAATTGTGAACTGTGCCACTTTTTGGTGGAGGTCTGTAGAACAGGGCTCCCAAACGGTAGATAACTAGGTTTTACATTCTAGATGATTCAAATATAAACCTTTTCCCTCTTATTTCAATGCTAGGGATCCATTGTATCATCACAACATTGTAGACTGCAAAAGTCCTGCTATGGATTGCCTAACCTTATCCCTTGACATCTAAATTCTTCACTATCTCCACCCTGCAGAATAACACAGACGTGGAGTCAATACCCCCTCCCCTGCCCCCCAAGAGGCCCTCCTCACGCCCCCAATCCATGCTGGACGGAGAGACGGTGGTACACAAGGCTGAAGAGAATAACGTGCAGAACGAGAGGAAGGATGGACAGAAGGATGGAATGAAAGATGGGCTGAAGGATGGAGTCAAGTCAGTCGTGGATGATGATGATGATGCATCGTCTAGCCCACCAACAAACTCAAGGTTAGAAGGGAGAGTTTGTAAGATAAGGCTTGTGGAGGTGTTGTGGTCTAGTGGATAAGTCACCCAACTGCAGATCACAATGTACAGATTCGAGTCTCGCCACGGCACTAATGTCCTTTGGCGAGACATTAATCCTTATTTGCCACTCTCCACCCAGGTGTGAAATGGGTACCCGGTAGGATGCAAAATAGAATTTGGTTAGATGACAAAGTGTGCGCTTGTAAAAATTATGACGGACTGGAATGCTCCACAGGGAGTGGAGAATGTGCATACATTGTGTGCGGGTAAGCCTGAATCCAATGACCGGGTAATAATATATCTGTAAAGCGCTTAAGACACATCGTTGATGTATTAAGCGCTATATAGAAGCCAAATATTTTTATCATTATTAATGCACCAATATTATCTTGTCATCCACAGCAGCTATTTCAAATCTTTATTTCAGACTTACATCTTCTTTTTAGATTAGATACAGAATGGTTCATAAAAGGTAACACTTTTGAGACAAGATGTAATTGTTCTCTCTCAAACATTATATGAGTGTTCAAAAACTCAGTTGATTCACATAATACTGTTACATTTTTGTATTGGGAAAGTTTGAAGACTTGCAATTTTCAAATAAGTCTTATAATTTGAATCCAAAAGTAAGGAACGATTGTCTAAACTTTAAGGTGTGAATGAGGTATTGAAATATTTCTAGACAGAGAAATATCAGTGGGATTGCTCTCATCACTATTTATAGAATCATTTAATCTGATTGTCATGCGAATGAAGAGAATGTTTAAGCCATTAATCATTTACGGAAGTAGAATTGGAAGTGGAACTCTAATTAAGAATTGTTTCAGGTTTTGATTTCAAGGAGAGTACCCTGCTTTTGTTATTTGACTAATAGAGGATTTGATGGGTTTGTAATGTAATCAAAACTAACTTGTTATACCGAAACATGTTAAATCATTCTGATGAACAAGTGAAAATGACAGGCCTCTATGCAATGCTTGTACACATACATTTCAAAGAGCATTGTAGGGATTTGTACCGTGAAAAAGCTTGAAAAAACCCAAAATGTTGTAAAAAATCATAATTGAAAACTTCCTGAGTGTATGGTGGCAAAATTTTCATTATTAGCAAAATTGCAGTCATTTTTCTTTTCTGATAAAAAAAGAAATGATGTGCTTATTAACCTGTAACTACTGGTAATAAGATCTTTTGATCTGAAATTTTGCACATACATGTACTCTCATAAACCCATCTTGCTGGTAATAATAAGATTTTTTGATCTTAAATTTTACACATACTCTCATTAAACCCATCTTGCTACCAGCAAGATGGGGTTATGAGATACATTTTGAGATATTCATTTGAAGGCTTGCAAACACCTGATAGGGGCTATAACTATCTTGTATAATTGCAGTACAGTGAACTCAATCTTGGTCTTTGAAATGGAAGAAAGGGTAGTTACTTTTGTATGTCTCCCCATGTATTAAGCCATAATGTACTAGGTGCACTACCGCAAAAGAAAGCAACGCTCTTTGATTGAGAAACATTGTACAGAGTTGATTAGACTATTTATAAGTCAAACAGTCAGAAAGCTTAGCTGTTTGCTCCCATAGTTCAAGGATCATGGCTTGGCCTGGTACATGAACATGTGTTGTAAGTAATGTTGCCATAAACCAACAGCATTGTAAAGGTTAATCCCCTTTGTTGGTTGGTATTCTTTGTCTTGATTTCTAACATCAGGACCCTGTCTTGTAAAGAGTTGATCACAACAAAAACTTGAATTTTCATATTGATAACAACTCTGTACCTAAAAGATTGCTATTTCAACTTTGCAATTACTATCAACTTAATAGCATGCTGGATCAATCAATCCAAAACCTTGATGTGCTTATAGAGCAGGTACGAATGTTTTTATTTCTCTTTTCTCCTGCAGAGTGGTAGACAGTCCGCCCCAGAATGAGCTGAGGAAACGAAAATGGGAGGAGAGAGAGGAGAGGACCTCAAAACTCAACGAGAAGATCTCCGAGATGAGGCGAAAGCAGAAAAGGTCTGAATACTGGCAACAGAAAAGGTCATTAATACATCTCGGGGTCGGGGTCGGGGTTGGGGTAGGGGTGGCAGTTTCATTATTTGCAGTTTATTACTACATGTCTCCTTGATACGATGCCACACTCAGCCACATTCTTTCTCAGATATAGACCTACTATCCTTTTCCTTTTGTGTTGAAAAGATTGACGAAAGGTATTTAAAAACGGAGTGAAAAGAGAAGGTATACGTAATGATATTTCAGAAGCAGGTGATTTATTTTATTTACAGCATATGGTGCTCGTTTAAATCCCTGTTTATCTCAAAGCTGGGATTCAATTATGGCTGCTAAGTATTGCAAAAGTGAAGGCTAGGTTTCAATCCAAATTATTTATCAATGGGGAAAATGAATAGGCTTTGGTTCTACCAGTACTCTGAATTTGAAGGAAAAAAAAATACTGGCTTAAGAGCCATGGAACTTTCATTTAAAAAAATTAAAAGAATATTTCAAATTTTATGGAAATCATCAATCACTCAGTCATTTCACATTGACCATGACATACCATATGTAAATACTCTCAAACGTATGCAAACGCAAGCATGTTTATATGCGTAAATATGAATTATTTCTGGTATGCCTCGGTAAGTTTGAAAGCCAATACCTTTGTGCATGTTGTGTAGGTCTCTCATTTAGGGTACTTGAAACTCTTACCTCAATTGGTCACCATATATTGTACAGTCAGTATCTCAGTAAACCATTCAATAAGCTATTTTTTTGACAAATAGCAATTGAAATGGAACATTCCTTTCATTTTATAGATTAGTCCAAAATGTCTATGAATACATATTTTAGCAGGCACATGCAAATGGTGTAACCAGCAGAGGATTAAGTTCATCTGCGGTTGTTTTGAAAATGTTTACGACTTACAATGGGCTTACAAGCATGTAGGGGCCACCCAGATGTACTACACCTTCCTTTTACCAACTTATGAATAAACAATCTTGTGGGTGTTTCACAAAGACTAAGAACGACTTACGTTGGACTTAAACTATGGCAGGCCATTCATGCCACAGGTTGCTTTCACCATTAGTCTTTTAAGGGACGTCACAAATCTACAGAATTTACATTTTTGTTATTGTTCATTGAGGAAATAAGTTACTTACATCGATGTGTACGTCTGTTGAGAGACCAATGCCAGGAGTGGTGAGAGCAACCAGTGGCATGAACTGCCTGCCATAGTTCAAGTCCAACTTAACTCGATCTAGGTTTTTGTGAAACACTCCCCAGTTTGTAGTACTATTTATTTAGGAGTCAGGCTTCAAATGTTTACAAGAATATCATTAGCTATCAAATACTTATATTTTCTCCAGCGACTAAAGTAAACAGAGGCTTGGGTCAATGAACTTCCCTAACTCTTTAAAATATAAGAGCTACTGTGATTTTTCATTTTAAGTAAAATTTAAAAATGTTCTGTTTCTATTAAAGTTTGTTGTATATTAAATTGCTGATCATGTTACCTTGACTTTAATAAGTGTAGCCTTCACAAACTCTATTTCATATCTCTCTTCAGAGAAATACTGTTAACTAGAAGTTTAGGTTTTGGTATATCTGAGTATTTTTTCTTTAGGATGACAGTAGAGAGAAATGATCTTTGATTGTTTTAACCCTGGTGCGGCAGATTTTGAAATGCAGCATCAATAGTGCTTTCTTTGCAATTATGATATCATAATAGTTCACTTACAAGCTTGTGGATGTAAACAAACCAATCAAGCTAATGACAAATGGTGTAGTACTGGTGCTCTAATGCTATAACAGAAATGTGATCAATTGAATGTTAATACTATGTGTTGTTGCTACGTTTTAGTAGACCTGTGGAGTATCTACCAAGGAAACAGGGATTTTCATGATTAAACAGGAAAGAGAAAGTGATACAAAGAGATTAATTGTACTCAGTCACTCCTCTTATGTGATCCTATAGCTACTTGTTTTACAGATATATTTATTTAGTAGTACTCTTATTTCTATCTCTGTCCATTTCTTGGACTAATGGCTGATTATGTGGAAGAAGAAGAAATTTTTTAAACATTGATGATTAGATTTTTTTTTAAATGATGAATTATTGCTAACTTTATGAAAAGAAATGTGCCTAGAATGTTTGTGAAATTGTACAAATTTGCTTATTAAAAAAACGACAGTATTAGTTGCAATTTGTTTTTGTAGCATACTTTTTCATAGACATATATTGAAATTGGTTTGATCTTATATGTACCTGATATGCATATTGTTGACTTATCTGCGATGGTCTTGATGTAACAATGCTGACAGAAATATTATTACACTTAATTTGTTATTTTATTTTTTTGAATTGTGGGCCAAAATAGAAGAAAGATGTATATATCTCATTTGATTCCTTCAGTTTTATACATGTACATCTTCATGTTAGTCCTTTCAAGTCCCTTCTTGCATTTTCAGAATAAAAAGAAATAATGTGCTTATTAACCTATAACTACTGGTAATAATTGTCTGCATTCATATTTCTTTTTCCTTCTCATCATGAAAATGATTCATGTTCATTTGTAATAATCTTTGTTCACAAGTAAATAGAATTGAAAGGAGTATGATTCTTTTCCTAAAGATTTTGGACAAGTTTAAGAGAAAAGGGATTTTGTAATGACGGAAATTGTGCTCTCTTCAGTGATTTACGTTCCCAAATAGTACAGTAAAGACATGTATACATCTCTGCCCTACAAGTTTTACGTTCCCAAATGAGACAGTAAAGACATGTAAGCATCTCTGCCCTTTCAGTTTTACAAGTAAGGAGTTGGACAAAATATGACTAGCCAAAATGGAAGGTAACATACTTGAAAGGCCTTTCAAACTTGTTATTGTTTGCACAAAATATGAATACATTAAATATGATATGCACCAGGCAAACAAGACAGATGAGAAATTGCATTGTTTCTTTTTCAATTTTTGTCCCCCTTTTGTTTTCTTCTATTTTACTTTAGAATTAATATCATGTATAGTGTATCATGTGTTTGTGTGTGACTGCTTGTGATTTTTTTAATAAGTTTAGGGGCATTCTTGGAGTGAAAACAAAGACACTGTTAATAGGAATATTTTGTTTTAATAAGTAATTGCAGAGGTAGGCTATATTTTCATGTCAAATATTTGTAGTTGATATTGCATTTATAAGAATGTGACTATATTCATTTTCAGACAAGATCAGCTTGATTTTATTTTGTGAAACTGAACCATTCATTCCAGAAGAATTTTGATTTTGATTTTGTATAGAGGAAATGATATGGGTCTTATTATCTAATTTAACGAGTGTTTCTTCTTCACAGTTTTGCTTAAAGGTTATACAAAGTTTTGGTATGGGGTCATGAATTTGGTGCAAATAAACATAATGGAAGCATATGCGTTTTACAATATTCAGTGATCGTTGTCGCGGTTGAAATCAAGTCTAAAGTTATGAAATTGTAAATAATAAACCCTTTATGTTATATAGCTCCCTCTCAAGGTCAAGATATTGATTAAGCCATAAAACAATGTTTCTTGACTAAAATCGACCAATTGGTTATTCCCGTTTAGAAATAACATATCACAACTACATATTCTGATATTTTCATGATCGCTGCTACTATTGTATGGCCGTAAGCGCTATCTGCAATTTATCAAAATTTACCAGGAGAACTGGTAAATTTTAATATTCATTTTTTCTCGAAAGCATAAGTGTTCTAGGAGCTAAATTTTCTAGTGCTTATAATGCATCCACAGGGTCATCCAAATATATAAAAAAATTGTAAAGAATCACTATCCAGCCAATTTTCAAAATTTCCCAAAACTTTGTATTACCTGTAAATGAATATCAGTTTGTAAGAGTTGTTCTGAGCAATGATGGTAGCCAACGTCATTATTTGACCGCTGCAGCCATGTAGCGCAGCCATGTAGCTGCAGCCATTATGTAGCGCCCTCACCCCTTTCTTTCATGATGTTAAGGACGTGTTCTTCATTCATCCCTGATACATGAAATCATTTCCAGCAAGTTCAATGGACTACAACGCATATCGAAAAACTCCTGTCTACATGAGCCTACACAGTAAAGTGGAACCTGTGTTTAAAGACCTAAGCAGTGAAACCCGTCTACGAAGACCAAGCATGGGAGACAAAGTCTTGTCTCTGTTTATAGGCAGGTGGACTTTATGTACACGTTCCAATAATAATGGTTTTAATGAGAAATGCTGTTAAAGAAAAATATAAATCATGGTCTTTATTTTCAGCTGGTTGCTAAAGCAGGTTTGATTATATTTACATTTGATTACATATCCAGATGAACATGTAACCGAAAATGATTTCAGAAAAGAGTTGTGGGTATCGGGGGTATTTTTAAAAAAATAACCAGATTTGATATTATTGGGAAGTCTTATGTTGTACAATTTATAAAATGGTATTGCTGCATTCTATTTTTGTTTGTTTTTGTTGCTGCTATAAACAGTATTTTGAGATTTGTTCAACTAAGTTTAACATAGGAATGTAAGAATGTGATTTATTTTTACAAAACAATACTTTGATTTTATTTTCAAAGCTTAACACACAAATGTCCAACTCCTTTGTATTGTAATGTTATTTAATGCTTCTTGTTTTTTTGTTTTTTTCTTGGTTGTCCACAATATAGTAAATAAGGAGAAGGTATTTATACTGTAAAGAATTGAAAACATTCCCCAGCTTTAAAAGTTCTATATTGGACCCTATTTTTGTATTTTTACGGTTAAGATATAAGAATTCAGAGTAATTTTCTCTATGTATCACACTACTATTGTGATTACATATTTTGAGTTATGAGGTTTTGGAAAGAAAAACATTTATTGCCACTGAAACCAGCATTACTAGCACATTCTTAATATAGATTAATGTTTAATTGTGTACTTTTATCTCATAATTCTATTTCTACTCTGTTGAGTGCCAATTAAGAATTATACTAGGCCAATCGAATTAAGTACATCACTTTGAATTTGCAAATAGATATATGATTATTATATTGTACAGCTCTGTATATTTTTTTTCACCATTGATTGCTATACATTAAGTAAAATTACACAAACCCTGCATAAAAGCATATGTATGTGATATTTAAGAATGAGCAAAATGTTCCTTTTTCAAGTTCTAAAATACAATTTGAAATGTTCTTGTTATGAGTCAGTACTTGAATTGCAGAGGAAGGGGTATACCATATTTTGCAAACGATTGTATGTGATGTTATTTATGAGGAGACATCTGTTCTATGCCAAGCCTTCATTGTTCAAGGGCTTGACGTTACGATGAGAACAGGTGCTTTGCGACAATTTCCATATTTTTTTTCATGGGCATGATATTGAGCGTTCAGATTAACAGGAACTGAAGCTAGCGGCAAAAAAAGTGTCCTACTTGTAACATTCAATGTACAAAGACGTCTTATTCTCATTAAATATGTACATGTTTACTCTTAAGTGTATCCTGACTTTCTAGCAGTTATTTCTTTACTCTGTCTCGTCCTTTGTTTTTATCTTCTTTATATTTTGTGGAGAAGTAGGAGGTATCCTAGGTTCTTTCAAATTTGACACAGTAAACCACGGTGGTTGTTTACATTGACAAATAAAGCGTAACATGCTTTGTATTTGCTGTATTATCACACACAGACGTATCCCCACTTGCTGTTCACATACAAACACAAACACATACAAATAATGCCGTAGTAAACCACCGGGGTTTCCCAGGTCATGTGTAAACTAGCCTTGATACTGGTACTACATTCTTGTTCTTAAACCTGCATGGTATTCTATTTTCAAAAGACGATCTTGTCTAAAGGCCTAATTCTGTATGTGAACTGCCCTGAAAGGCCTTGAATCTGAAGATTTTCTGCAGGTGAATGTTGAATGAATCTATCCCTTTGGCAATCTCATGTCAGCATGTTGCCATGGAAATGTTGATCTCCATCCCTTACCCTTATCTCTTTAATTTTTTCAATTTTGCATGAAAGACATAACAGAGTGAACTTGGAGAAGACATTACTAGTTCAAATTCCATTCTTATCTTTTTATTTCTGGCTCAATGCTCCCTCTTAACAACTTGGAATTTGAATTCACACCAATTTATCACAATGGACTAGTTAGAAAAACACAGAAATCCCCTTAAAATTTTATTTCTTTTATTTTATTTTTGTCTCCCCTTGTGTAGGCATTCAGAGGCCACATCTCCTAAATCAAGCCCGCACAGATCAAGAACGTCTTCACAAAGGTCACCTAAATCCTAGCCTTAATTCTTCTTTATCCCATCTGGAGGTAATCACAGCTTTAATGTCCAGATGTAACGAGGGGGGGGGGGTCAGTCATCATTTGTATGATGTTTTTTCAATCAAAAGTCAACTTCAAACACGATTTAAAAAAATAAAATGTTATTTAAATTTCTCAAAATTCAAAGGTCCATATTGTTGAAAGGAGATCTGTAACTTGTTCTGCAGTATAGACAGTTCTGTGAAGAAATACATAGACTTTGCATCATTGTTATGACTATTGTTCTTTAGAAGACAGGGGATAGAGGTGGAGAGGTGAAATTCCATGGCAGCTAAACGGTGAACCATAACCACCTAGAGCAAGAGTGATGTTTTAAGAGTTTGTCTGTTTGGAGCCGGCAGAAGGGTGTTAAACTTATATCATCTGAATACAAAGAGTTAATGCCCTTCTGCTTGCAAACAGACAGATAAGTTCGTCCTTGTTTTCACGAAGTGACGGTAGTGAGGAAAATCGTCACGCAAAGTGAATGCAACTTTTTTTCACTACCGTCACTTCGTGAAAACAGCGACGAGTTGATGAATATGCATGCAAGTTCTATGTGTGACTGAATGAGAGAATTCAATTCAATTCAGAACTTTATTTCAGACTCAGCTGCACAAGGCAGAGGTCCATAAAACATATGTTACATATAGATAGGGAAAAGAGCCGAGTATGAACATGATGAGTATAATAACAACAAGTCGTAATAGTTGATGATTTGATTGACGTATTGAGATTTAAAAAGTATTCACCCCTACTAGTAGAGGCTACTATGAAATCCCGTGAGATAATCGTGCCAAAATTGATTTTTTGGGCTAACTTTGTCAATTTCGGGGTGCTGAATCTAAAAAAATTTGGTACCATTTTTTTCGACCACGTCTTGGGCAGCCATTTTGAATTTCAAAATGGCCACCATAAATAGTTGCATTTTGAGCATTATTTCATATTATAGACATCATAGAAGGTTCAAATTTCAGATAAAAAGCATGGCATTGATGTCTGATATAGTAATACAAATTTCCATGAAATTGTGCTTTGTTCCGGATAAGCCGCCATTTTGAATTTCAAAATGGCCGCCATTGTTAAGCCTATTTCAACTTGAATATCAAGTTAGAAGTGCACGGAAAGGTTAAAACTTGTTATAGTATCATCATGATGATGATATACATGCTTTAAAAGGAAATACATGCTTCGTTTAATGATGACCATTCTAATTAGCCGCCATCTTGAAATTCAAAATGGCCGCCATAATATGGTATTTCAGATTTGTAACACATATTGGGTATTGGAGCGCTTAAAATGCGAAATCAATCATTTTGGAAGGCATGTGATTCTAGAATCAATCACGGCAGTCAACTCCTGCTTTATATTGCGATATGTTGAATTGAATAATGACATATAATAATGCATGGCATAACCTGAGACTGATAAATCATGCGATTGTGATTTCAAAGACCAAATGTCTACCAAATGTACCTCCTTACAACTGTGTCTAAAATGACAACTAATCTTATGGATGTGAGTTTAGTTGCGACGTTGAAACAACAATTTCTTATAATCTACAATTTTATATTCACCTAGTCAACATCGGGGCTATTCACATCATAGTCCTGTGTATTTTCACAGTC